AAAAGCATACCTATGTTTTATAGACCTGACAAAGGCTTTCGATTGCATCCAAGTTGAAGATGTCTTACACCTACTGTATAAAAAAAACATACCAATCAATATTATACAAACCATCGAAAACATCTACCTTCATAATTGAATATAGGCAAATATAAATGGAAAACTAGTACAGTGTATACCAGTATAAAGCGGAGTCAGACAGGGTGACTCGTTAAGCCCACTTCTCTTTAATATAATAATGAACGAAATAATACAAGCCGTACGTAAAGGTCATGGCTATAGAATGGGGAACAAAGAAATCCAAATATTATGCAGATGACGCCGCATTAATCGCCGAGACAGAAGATGAGCTCCAAAGATTAACACATATCTTCAATACCACAGCTCAGAAATACAATATGCTAATATCATCAGAAAAAACCAAATGTATGACAACATCTAAATACTCACTACGGTGTAAAATCTAAATTGATAGGAAAATAATAAAGCAGGAAGCCAGGTTTAGATATCTGAGAATAGACATAACTAGTTATGAAGATGTTGAAGAAGAAGTACGACGTACAAAGCTTAAAAGCAAGAAAAGCGGCAGGATCTCTTAATGACACAACCTAAAAGAATAAACACCTAAGACAAGACACAAAAACAGGAATCTTTAAAGCAGCAATTAGACTTATATTAACATATACGGCGGAGACAAGACCTGACACATCTAAAACGAGACGACTGCTAGAAACAACAGAGATGAAAATACTCCGACGAATATCAGGGAAAAGTCTGTTGGATAGGGAGAGAAGCGAAAACATAAGAAGAGCATGCAATATAGAAGACATAAATGAATGGGTGACAAAACGAAAACAGGAGTGGAATGAACACATCAGTAGAATGGCAGAAAATAGAATAGTACGAATAGCACGAGATAAGTCACCAAATGGACGAAGAAGTATTGGCAGACAAAGAAAAAGAAAGCGAGGTCCAGGAAGAATAAGGACATCTTGGTTAAAAAACCTCTGAATCTGGTTCAATACAACATCTGTGTAGCTTTTCCGCGCTGCTGTAGATAAGATAAAGATTGCCATGATGATCGCCAATATTCGTAACGGATAGTCACATCAAGAAGAAGAATGCATTATTATGTTATCTAGGCCTCTCTGCATTGCTCTACCTGTACGCTGGTTTGACTGGTTTCATGCATTTGTGGATGAATTATCTCTGTCCATTTATCTTTTCCAGTACCCAATATTTAAAAAATATATCTTTCCTGGTATTTTCATCCATTTTATTATTTAAGGTTTTTGTTATTTAGATCTTGAGGTATGCTCGGCCAGAGTTTCTTAATTTCTTGGCTTTGTTCCTCAACCAATTTTCTGCCACTGCTACTCGCTTTTTCCCTCTTTTGTTTAGGACTGGCAATTTTGGTGTCTGCTGGTTGAGTGTTTGCTGGTTGGGTGTCTGCTAGTTGAGTATCTGGTACTTCAGGTCCTTATGCTTGTAAGTTTGCTACTCTGTCTGCAACTTTAACGTCAGTTATTTGAATGCTTGCTACTGGAGTATTTACTGCTTGAGAGTCAGCAAGTGGAGTATCTGCTACCTGGCTTATATTGTTTAAATTCGACAAGACTTTTACTACTGATTGAGCTAGAAGTACCACTTGATGTAGCAGAGGAGGTCGATTCATAGTTGGGATCTTTTATGAAATTATCATTATAACTTACGAAGTCCGAGATTTGGAGGTCGTCTTTTAGTTCTGGTAAAAGGTCAACCCATAATAATGATGTACCAGGCTTATTATTATCGTTATCAGTAGCTATAACATAGTTTGCATTATCATACATAATAAGTGCCTCATTTTTCTCGTGTAAAAGATGTCCTGAGATTTCTAAAAAAGAAGAAAAATTATTATAGCTAAAATAAAAACTTATTTATTATTCAGTCACGCTATTTTTTATTATTCAATATTAGATTACCAGAGTTTCACACTTGATCTTTTCTTTGTTAGAACCATAATTCTGCATGTCCTTGAACTCGATGAAGTTGATATGTAACCACCCTGTTTGCTACAACAAAAATAATAATAAATAAAAACTAGAAAGGATAACGCACAGTCATAAACAAGAAAATAACAGTCAATAATTCTAAAAAAGCGCCATTAAAAAAACGTCAATGGTTTTGAAAATCGTATGTGTCGGTTCTGCAAAACAATTATATTCCAAAAATAGTTTAAAAAAATATATTTACATATTCAAAAAAATTGTCTCAACTCAATATGTATCATTAATCCGCACCACGCACAAGTACTTTCCTTGTTTACAACTTCGAAAAAATTGTCACAACACAAAAAAGAACGGTATTTTACTTATTGGAATAATCATATATAACTAATAATTCACGCAAAAAATTGTCACAATTCTAAATGGTCATCACCTCAAATCACCTCTTCAGGATTAAGCACTAGGTGTAGACTGTTATAAAGTCAAGGGTGACACTGTAGCGAAGCATGCTACGCTAACCTGTAAAAAACAAAAGTGTCAAATTTTCATCTCAATAATGGTGATTTTTGAGTTGTGACTCTTTTTAAGCGAGGTGCGATATATACAAATACGACTGCTATGTCAGACAGTCCCACCTCTATTTTTCTTAGGACAAGAATATTTTTACTCGAATAATTACTAGTTTTAATGAGACCACACTTACAAACATTTTCTGACGTCAATAAAAATAAGTATTTACTCATTAAAGCTTGTGTAGTTATTACCGAAACAAACAAGCAAAGTTGTTATAAAAAAACTATATAGAGGGTGTCTTTTATAAAATCTACACATTCGTAATCATGAAATTTATAAAAAGAATCAGATCCAATGAAAATAATTGGGTTAATATTTAACTAACAATAAATAAAAAATGAATTCATCACTATGAACAATAATTGCTTAGAGAAGACAGAGATGAATATTCTACAACCTTACTACCTGAAATAGCAATTGTGCGCAAAAAAAAGAAACATCGACTGTCCAATAATCGTTGCACTGCAATGGTTGTTAAGGCACCGTCTACATACTTTGAATGGCAGAAAATAAAGAATAGGTACGAATAATACGTACCTTTCGCCCCATTTCACATATTAGAAAAATTTGTAGTTTACTAATTATTTGGAGCAAATTAACTATACCTACTGATTTTTTAAATTATAAAAATAGATAATTTCTACTATAATTCACGTGTAAAGTAGATGTTTAGTTCAGTTAAATTGTATTTTTGCTAGGAGAGTTTTTGGGTAGTTCTGATTTTTTCATTCCACATGTTTTTTGGGGTGCTTAATCCGAATCTGGGGTTTGCGGACAAAATTTCGTGACGCAACATTAAAAGAAAAACAGAATAAACCGTTTTTTTTTCGGGTTTTTTTGCTTAAAACTCGAAAACTATCAACTTTTGGTAAATGATCTGTTTACAGAAATTAAAGTAGGGCTCAACATTGTTACACAGTCCTTCGCCTGATGCGCATATTGGGGAACAATGGAGTCCCGCCTTTCTGCATCCATAATTGCGTTGACAGCCCTTTTTACATGTACATGAAATGCACCGGAATATTGAGTTTGGTGCAAGGTCCAAAGTAGTCGATACTGGCACAAGACCACTACTAGTTTTTTGCCATCCCCACTCACTTGGGTCTTTTTGTTGCTCGTTATGTGTGGCTTGACCGGATAACCACTGCTGCACCTAAGAATAAACTCTCAGTGAATGTTCTCGTGCAGCAGCTTCAGTTGGGGGCAATGAGGAAATGTTGGTCTTTTTTTGAATTTTTGAATGATGAAGATACGTATTGTTTATATCTTAAATCGTTTAGTTTTGTCTCTTTTTTTTTCAATATAGAGCCGTGAGAAACATATTTCCTGCTGTGGCAATCTCATCTTGACTTGAATTGGGTTCTTTGAAAGCTTCAATTACCGATTGCAAATCTTTGTTCTTCTGCAGGACTTTAAGAAATTTTAGTTTCCCTTGATTAAACAATGCAGAAGTAGTATTACAACCACTCATCGCATACAGGAATAAAATATAATCCAATAGGATTTTCTCAGCAGCCAGATGAGGGTTGTAAAGGCTTTGATAAACCTTTCCTTTTCCTGGCTTCAAAAAAAAATACATTTTTCATATCAGGGCTACAAAGGCCAATCAAAATGACCAGTGTTCATTTGTGCGCTAGTGTGCGCTCCACGTACACACATACCACAACGTCTACAACAGTTTGGCACATTGTTGCCGTTTGGAATGTAAAGCGGCTTTAACTGCTTTTTAACTGAGTTGTTTTGATATTTTGCAATCAAGCTATAATATTTGAGTCAAAACTTGAATTATCCGTGTGACTCAGTCTTTATTTTAATTAACTTAAATACTAGGGAAAATTGACTGAAAACCTTTCAATACAAATCTAAAAAGTGGGTTTTGCAGTCACACCGGTACAAATTGCTAATTTTCAACTGGCACTGGAGACCGAACGGTTCGTCTGTACAATAACCAAAATAGTGACATTTGTACAGAACTTTAAGTACTTTAATTTCTGTAAACTGACCATTTACTAAAAGTTAACGGTTTTCGAGTTTTAAGCATAAAACCGGAAAAAAGCAAAAAAAAACCGATTTCTTCTGGTTTTTTAAATGTTGCGTCATGAAATTTTGTCCGCAAACCTCAGATTCAGATTTAGCACCCAAAAACACATATGGAATGAAAAAATCAGAACTTCCCCAAAACTTTCCAACTAGTATCACTTTACAGTACAAATTTACTGAATTAGTTGCAGTGATATTTTTTATGATAATATCATTAATAAAATATATTTAAAACAATTTTATAAACTCTTTAGAAAAAGAGTTGCCATAAAATAAATATTTAAGTTCGTGGATTGATAGACACAGAAACATTATTTTATACAATTTAAACCAGCTGTCAGGAATAATTACCGTGTACGTACATAATACCCCTCTTTATCCCTGTTTCTGTTTATACAGAAAGAAGAAAATGTCGACCAAAAACGACTCATCTCAACTGATTGTGCTGAAAGATGTCAATGATTCAAGGATGGATCAACCGACGAACATTACGGAGAATCTGTTAATGATACCGGAGAAGAAGCTGCACCAATTAAACTCACCAGAAATACGGTGTTCGCCCTCTCCGTGCGTGTTTGACTTTGATGGTAATATAATTCGAAGGTGTGGAGGTAAATATTGTACTAGATTAAATGAATGTGGTATCGGCTTGCATATATCAGGTTTTGAAAATATTTAAATAATAATTTTGTTATAAATGTTGACATTTTTTAAACACTTCATAAAGTTCTAAAAGTCTGTTAGTGTTACTTACGCAAAAGAGAACTATTCTACCTTTTGGTGGTGAATTATATAACATTTATGGTTGAGTTCTATAACGTCTTTTCCTTCGTCTTTATTCAAACCTAGAGTATGGTTATCTAGATAGCATTCTTTTCTGCGATATACATTCTCAGCTATCTCTTTAACTTTTAGGATGTTTTTTTAATGATCAAGACTGATCACGTATTCTTAAAGAACTACTCGCAATAATTTATTTAATTTATTTCTACAGTTATATTTTGAATAGTCTCAGTTTTTTTTTTTAGTAAATATAAAGTCAATTTCGTTCTTTATAAGCTATTTGGTGATTGCCAGGTCCACTTTCTTTGGTCATTTTTTTTAAATGAGTGTTCATGACATATAACCTGTGTTGCAGAAGAAATTCTATAAGAGTTTGACCGCTTTTATTTTTATCGCTATATGCGTAAAGTACTGACACATTCTTCGTATATCCTGGACCGAACATGTCACCAACATAGAGGTAACAAAGAATCGGAAAGGAGAAAGAAATCGTGAGCACAATTAAACAAAGAAAGCTTGAATATCTAGGCCACATATTGAGACACGATAAGTACCGTCTACTGCAATTGATTGTCCAGGGGAAAACAGACAGTAAGCGAGGGCCAAGCAGGAGAAGACACTCGTGGCTCCAAAATCTGCGGAAGTGGTTCGGGCTCATATCGGTTGAACTATTTAGAAGCTCCGCAAACAAGATCAGAATTGCCATATTAATAGCCAACGTTGGCAACGGACAGGGCACTTGAAGAAGAAGATGCATAAGGATGAAGTGCAAACCAAACCCCGAGTCATCCTGCTTGTGGCCTGTATTGTGGCTATATTGTGGCGTTTAGGTCTCCCATCAGTATAGTATAGTTGGTGGTTACCTTTTGTATCACAGTGTTAACGTCATCGTAAAGCCATTCAACTTCTTAGTCTGTGTGGGTACTGGTAGGTGCATATACCTGGATGATCTTTAATCGAATGTTTTCGTTTACTTTGTAGATAAAATATACAACTTTATCACTTACGCTTTAAATTGTGAATATATTCTTTCTGTTCTTTTTACTTGCCATAAATCCTGGGCTTTTGTAATAAAAACTAGAAATATCTTCCCGGGCTTTTGCAATAAACGTGTCTTTGATGCATATCGCACTACTATCATGCTTTGTGCATTGTACATATACAATGCATATCGTATTGTAGTCCTTCAGTTGTTCTTCTGTTTTCCAGTACTCAGTTAAATAAAGAGTAAAGCATTCATCATGATCTTGTAGGATAAAATGAATGGCATTAATACTTGTTCTAATTGATTGCGTATTTAAGTGGATTACTGATAACTTCTTTTAATGTGTGCCGTAGACTGTATTTTGACACGGGAATGCCTCTGTACATTCTGAAAATGATTAAAAATTACACAGTTCGGTCATAATTATTGCTGCATTAAATGAGGCACTTTTTGTTTTGGAATAGTAATTTTAAATGAACTTCTGTACTTTCTCTGCTCTTTGATTTTTTCGTAGATAACGTTTTCATCCAATTTTCTTTCTCAGGTAGTTAATTATTTAGGAGCGAAACCTGACAGGCAAATATATGGTTGGAGGCCACAGACAGCTTATCTCCAGCATTCTTATTGGATTCCTGGAGTTTATCTGGATTTAGTATCGTTTAAAAAGTGTTTGACGAGTTGTTTTGTAAAACCTTTTTTTTTTGGGTTTCCTATTTGTTATTTTCATCTTCAATTAGCTGACATTTGATATCTTTAACATGCGTCACGGATGCGGCGATTGAACTACTTGATATTCTTGGTTTAGGTGGCAGCTCAGACAAATTCACAGAACAAAGTGGCTGTTCTGTGACTGCGTCAACTGACCTTGTGGTCTCTGTCACATCATTTTGTTCTTTTAAAATGGATGGTTTGTTATTGTTATTTTTGGTTTTTGCAGCATTTTATACCTCCATGGAATTTTTTGATAACTTTTCTCTATGCTTTCTATTTTTTTTTTTCATAGCAGCTTATTATTTTCCTCTAGGCTTGGATCTTTACTTCTCAACTCACAAATTATTTCATTTAGCAGATGCATGATCGTATTTTCCCTGCCGTCCCCACTATTTAAGGTTATCTCAGAATCACAACACGCGTTTTATCTAAAGTTTAAAGTTTTCTGACCCAATCCCATTCCGTGCATGATTTATGGAACGCTTTTCCAAACTTTTCAAAACACATGTTATTGTGCTTATTTTCGTAGTTTTCCAACAAGTAACTTGTTCTTTTTTTGCACTCGCTCTCGCGATCATCATTACCGGACGCCATATTCTCCTACGCAACATTAGAAGACTCTTCTCTACAGTATTGTGCGAATGAATGGAATCATAGGCTGTTTTAATGAACAAACAGTTTATTTAGTAAAAAATTATATTTTGACAAAACTATAAAGGTAAACTTACATCATTCAGTAGGAAATATGCTCCCCTTTGGCAGCAATTACTGCTTTTACCCGTTTTGGCATAGATTCTATGAGTTTCTGGCAGTTGTCAGATATCCTTTCATCTCGATACCAAACCTGAATGGCCGCTTCTATCATTTTTGTTTTAGTGGTACAGTCGATTTTTCGCAGTCTAGCTTTGCAAATGGCCCATAAATTTTCAATGGGGTTGAGTTCGGGCGAATTACCGGGCCAATCTAAAACATTAATCTTCTTATTTTTGAAAAATGCCATAATTTCCTTTGATTTGTGACAGGGAGCAGAGTCCTGTTGAAGAATCGCTCCTCCTTGTGGTTGACATTTTTGGAGTTGTTTGTCCAAATACTTTTCCAACATGGATTTGTATTTTTGGCTGTTCACCATGCCTTTAATTGGCACCAAAGATCCAACCCCCATGTATGAAAAACATCCACAAAACATTTTCTTGACTGGATGTTTTACGGTTTGATCAATACGAGATGGTGTAAGCTTTTCATTGTCAGACTTCCTGACGAATTTCGACAGCTGTCCCTGAACTATAAAGTGGGTTTCATCTGTAAATAGGACTTTTTTCCAGTCGCCTACAGTTCAATTAGAGTATTTTTTGGCCCACAGTAGCCTTTGTTTCTTCATTCGTTCAGTTAGAAGCTGTTTTTTCTGTGGATGAATTGCATTTCTACCATTCTCTAAAAGTCTTCTACGAACAGTTGAGTCATGAATCACTATAGCTGATGCTGCTAGATCTTGTTGTAGGTCTTGGCTTGATTTTCTTGGGTAAAATTTGCTCTTTCAAAGTAAAAATCTATCATCTGCTGGTGTTGTTTTTCTCTTTCTTCCACCTTTTCCTAACCTTTTCACATCCACTGATCCCGTTTCTCGTTTACGCTTCAAAATTTTGCTTACTACCGCCTGACTTACTCCACACGTTCTAGCAATCTCTCTTTCTGACATACTAGTGTGTTCACTCAACGTGACAATCTTTTCACGCTTCCTAGGCGTAATATCCATGTTGGAATAAAACTAAAAACAACACAAAATAGTACAAAAACCCCCAAAACAAAACAAGCTTGGAAAGAAATGACCTAAAACACACTCAAACACACCAACACACAGTAAGGTAATGTTTTCAATGCTTGGTCAGCTGTTAACTGTGTAGGTAGTGTTGCCAACTGTGAATATTGAAAAAATGAAAAAAAATTCACAGTGATTCTATTAATTCGCACAATACTGTATAATGCAATATGTTTCCCGACGAAAGTATTATTTGTTCTTCAAATTTTCAACGTACTTCCGTTAATCCGAGTATATCCCATTTTATATGCTTCAGTACGTTTTCATGCTCCTCAAGTTTCTCGTCTTCCATCAATGTTCTGATGTTATATATTGCCATAAACCGTATTCTTTGCCGTTGTCGTTTGTGAAGGTGGGGGTTCATACTACCCTCTGTCCCTTTACATTCGAGATTACTATATAGCCTGGTATTAAGGGACTGCCGGAGACTTAGGGCCTTGCGTTTTACTTGTTTCTTATTTTATGGGAATGTCGGAATGTGATCGAAAACAATGTCCTATTAAAAACACCATCCAGCAATATAATCGATAATTTTTGTGAATGATTTTCTTAGCATAGTTTAGGCATCCTCTCTTCTCTTTGTCAACCATTTTCCATCCACTCCTGAATGTAGGTCTCTCCCAATTGCTTCCATCTTTCTCTATCTTGCGCCAATCTAATCCCTTGTTTGCCTGCCACTGCTCTTATGTCATCTACCCATCTTTTTTGAGATCTTCTCATGCTTCTTGTTGTCGGCATTTCGGCATGTCGGCATTTAGGCATCCATTGTGCCGAATTAACGCCTAAATTAAGTTAAACTATATGCTTACACAACTATTTGAATTTATTTGCATAACATCATTTATCAAATAGTTTAGCTCATCAAAAAAGTAACTTGTGTAAATTTGTATAACACTCTTTGTACCTTTATTTCATAATATCGTGATAGAACCATGTTACATTTTTAAAAACATATTCAACTACTCGGATATTTACTCTTTATATTAGATATAGTATCTACCATTCAGTACCATTATACTCAATGTAGTTTAGTTTAAATTTCAAGGTTCATTTTTGATTTCCCATTAAACGTGTTAATTTGTTGGGAATATAAAATAAAAGAACACAAAAAATATACTCACAATTCAAAGCGAAGTGACAGAGTTATATCTGACCTACAAAGTAAATGAAAACATTCGATTAAAGATCATCCAGGTATACGCACCTACCAGTACCCGCACAGACAAAGAAGTTGAATTCTAAGATGACGTTACCACTGCATTACAATATGACCATTGTAGTTTAAAGAGAATATCTTCCAAATGTCAAAAAATTAA